AGGGCAAACAGCCATTCTGACCACTGGAGAGACAGGTAAATGCAGAAAATGCCAGTGGAGATCCACTTACTGGGAACAGAACCCTTTGGAGGGAGTAACTGAATTGCTGGAGGCTGAGTGTGGACTAGCTTGAGAGCTAGATACTCCTAGGAGCCCACTTTTAGGAGGCCCCATACTTCTGTGGGTTTGACTTCCAGGAATCCCACCAGATTTGCACAGTGAAGATTGGAGAAGGATTTCCTCATGCTCTCTGCAGGGGGAGGGAAAAGTAGCCATTTTGAAATACAGTCCACAATATTCTCCTGAACCAAGGTGTACTGTCAGGGAACACTACCAGTCTTTTGTGACCTGGCGGTGGGGGGGGAGGTGAGCAGTTAGACAACTCCAGCCTTCCTGCCACGTGTAGGGAGAGGGGGAAAAAAAGGAAAACAAAGACAAACACTTTTGAAGGTGACAAGCAAGGGACTCAGTCTGCTAAAAACCGATTTAGTCTTAAGATTAAGGAAAGAAAAAAAAGATCATGGAATGCTTTCCTTCCCCAGTGCCTTGCCACCACATCAACAGGGCTCTGGTATAAATAAAAACAGTAGATTGCCATCAAGAGAGTAGGATGCAGACTATTTTAAAAGGAGTTTCTAGGGAAACCAAAAGACAATAGGGGGGACAAAAGCAAGAATACTAGAGGAAATTGAAGCCTCTGACACCTATAGTTACAGCAAACATTAAACATAGTCTAACTCCTAATCAGATTAACCTAAAACTCCACACTAACAATGTGATTACCTTGATTCTTATGCATTTCTCCATTTCCGTATGTCTGGCTTTCAACAAAACATTACAGTGCACGCTAAAAGGCAACAAAAACTTATGCCGAAGAGACAAAGCAAGCATTAGAACCAGTCTTAACGTATGACATGGATTTTGGAAATATCAGGGAATTTAAAATAACTAACATGTATAGATTCTATGCCATACTGTAGTAGCATGTATTGCTACAATAGGATTTCAGTTTGGAAGATCCTCTCTAGGGCAAAACAGGGCCCTCCTCATGGCAGTTGCCAGGACCACAACAAAGCCCTCAGCTGAGCAGGAGTCTGAAGGTAAAGATGAAAATCCTGGGAGCAGAGCAGTTGCTGTGGAGGAGGCACAGAGATGGAACTTGGGTCAAGTAAGGGGGGGCTCACAGGGTTACTCCCAGTAACCTGGGCTCTGGGCTGCTTTCTGCCACTAGATATGCAGTTTACAAGTAGGAGGGTATTTTTTTTAAATCTTTTTTTTTTAAGATTTTATTTATTTTTATTTGAGAGAGAGAGAATGAGAGATAGCACGAGACGGAAGAGGGTCAGAGGGAGAAGCAGACTCCCCGCCGAGCAGGGAGCCCGATGTGGGACTCGATCCCGGGACTCCAGGATCATGACCTGAGCCGAAGGCAGTCGCTTAACCAACTGAGCCACCCAGGCACCCAGTAGGAGGGTATTTGTAGCCACCTGCCCCAGTGTTAGTCACAGGATGGGCAGTTGGCAAAATAAGTGATCTGGGTGAAAATCCTTGTGTATGTGAATTACTAAACATTTGCCACAGGGAAAACGCCCCTGGAACCTGGATCACACCACACAGTTCAACTCATGGATTCTGTACACAGCTGCTGCCTACTCTTTGCCATCTGGAACACAGGGCCTTCCCATCACTCTCTGTGCTCTTGCCTAATCACTACATGTGAGTTGCCAGTGAACACTTAGGATGGAAACACTGTCAATCATCAGGCCCTGCCCTAAATGAAATGCAACTGGATTTCTTTGCATATCTTTCTGCTCAGAGCCAAAATCAGAGCCTCTGTATAATAGAGTTAGTGGGCACTGGGAATGGGGAACAACACTTCATTTCAGAGGTTTGCAGAAAGGTTGGGGGTGGGGGTGGAAAGGCACTGGACCTGGGAGGAAGGGGCTGGAGGAATAGGTCACAGAACCGGGAGTTAGTTCCTGCCCTGTAGTGACTTGCTAGGGGACCCTAGGGAATCACTTCTGCTCTCTGAGCTTCCGTTTCCTCATCTGTCAAACAGAGTTTTAGTCTTTGCATTGTCTTCTGGCCATCTGCAGTGAAACTCAGAAATTGCTAAAACACGGGAGTAATAAGGTGAGTAGGTTAATGTTGCTGACTTAAAAGAAATGTGCAAAATATTTTTATCAGTAAAGGAAGTAATAATGCTCTTGGTTTACTGTTATGGTCTGATTTTTTTTTTTAAGATTTTATTTATTTGAGAGAGGGAGAGTGAATGAGAGCACAAGCCAGGGGTAGGACAGAGGGAGAGGGAGGAGCAGACTCCCTGCTGAGCAGGGAGTCCGATGTGGGACCTGATCCCAGGACTCTGGGATCATGACCTGAACTGAAGGCAGACGCTTAACTAACTGAGCCACCCAGGTGCCCCTGTTATGTCTGAATTTATTGCTCTGTCTGAATTTAGAGGCTTAGATCAGGAAAGTTGTTATCAGACTGACAAAATTCATATTTGGGTCATTGCCCATGAAATGTGTCAGCATCTAATGGGTGCTAGGCCCTCTGTTTGATACTGAGGATCCAGAGTTTCTGCCTCATGAAACTCATACCTTGAAGAAAACAAATTTTCAATGTATAGACTCATCAGATGGAGCAGTCAAGACATTTATCCACAAGAATAAAAGGAAACCAAGAAATGAAGTGGTCATCTTTGTAGGGAAGGACTACGTAACCTGTCTCCTTAATTATGACCAAGCTCATTCGAGGCCATGTCCCTCAGAATAGTTGCTGCCTTGATGGAGGGCATAGAAAAGAAACTTGGAAAAATAAACCATTTTTGAGTGAGGTAAAACAGGAAAAAAACCCATAGTTAATTCAACTCCAGAGTATTGGCTTCGGTGAGGGTGAGCATCGTAGGTTCCTGTAGTCAAGACAAATATCTCTTCAGAGTTAAAACAGGAATCAGAAATCCTTATGACAAATGAAATTCAAATTTTTAGAGAGGTACAAGCAAATGGCATAGTTACAGAGGAAAAGCAGTAGTTAACATGGGGGACAGATGGGAATCAGTGAAGATTTTACAGAGGAGTTGGCACTGAGTGAAGCCTTGTAGGATTAGTATTACAGCAGATAGAGGAGGAGAGGGGCTGGGAGAACCATCTAGTCAAGGCTCAGAGGTATGAAAATACATGGGGTATGGGGAAATGCAGGGGGAGATGAAGCTGGAAAGATAAATTATGTTGAAATGTGGACGACCCAGTCTAGTATGACACATGTGAGGCGCCTGGGACACAAAATTTAAGGAGGCATTCACTCTTAGGGTCAGACAAGTGCAGGGTCAGACAAGTGCAGGGTCAGCACGGTGGCTATGGTCATCAAGTAGAGGATTGATTTCAGAATCTCCCATATGAGGAACTTCTGCTTCTGGGAAGATGGAGTAGATACACGTTTTTGTTATGCTTTCTATCAAGTGCAACTAAAAATCCTGGACATTATATGGAAAACAAACACAAGACCCTGACAGGTGGAGGGAAGAAAACAGACAAGTTGGAAACTTGAAATCCAAGGAACATGGTGGTGAACTCCCTGGGTTTTGTTTTGCCTCATATTTCCAGACTTGGAGATGAAGAAGCCAGCCACCGGGAAACACCAATGGGTGCAGACAAAAAAGCTCCCAAGAAAATCCTGCTGTCTCTAACCAAAGGACCAAGAAGAGGGGAGCCTCACAAGTCAGGGAGCCTATATTCTAGTCAAATATCCCAGAAAAAAACTGGGATAAAACCACCCCCAGACCAGCCTTTCCCCCAGCCAAGACTAAGTGGAGAGCCTAGACTTTCACTCTCACCAGGCTATGGAGTTGTCCCAAATGGCCCCTTCCTGCCAGAGTAGTATCAGAGAAGACTGGGTGATAACACCCCACCTCCCCAATCAGTGGAGATCTTGGGAAGTCTGAGCTTTCACCCTGACCCAGTGGAAATGAGGTACAATTCACCTAACTGCTGGGCTGGCATCAGAGAAGGCTTACTGGAAATTCAGGACTTTCACCATCAACAGCAGCAACAGGGTCACCTCTACTGTGGTTTCACTGGAGACCAAAGAATGAGGAGATTTTTCTGCAGTCTTCACTGTAAGAACCTCATTGAGCTCCTTGACGTAAAATTCATGGAAAGTGGCTCTCCCCCTCAACCTTGAAAAACCTGGGCCCCCAGGATTTTTTTTTTCTTCTCATGCTGGTCTTCCTTCCACCTCCAACAGTTTATCACTTACCATTTTATTCCTACCAGTTGCTGGCTCCAGCAGTGGCTTCTGATCCTGAGAAGCTGTGATTCTTTATATTCATCTGTCTCTTCACTTTTGGGGTTTCTGTTTGCTCTGTGACTTCAGTTCTCTGGTCAACCTGGGAAGACATGTTGATTATCAAGTTTGTTCAGCTTTTTTCTTGTTTTGAGGGTGGCAGCTCCCAAGCTCTTCATATGTTGTAGTGGAACTGGAATTTCTGTGCTCATTTTTATTCATTCTTTTTTCTTTCTGTTCCTCAGACTGGATAATCTCGATTGATCTATCTTCGAGTTCACTGATTAGTTCTTCTGCTTGCTCAGATCTGCTGTTAAGCTCCTCTAATGAATTTTTTTCAGTTATACTTTCCAACTCCAAAATTTCTATTTGTCTCTTTAAAAAAATCATTTCTCTTCATTGATGTTCTCTATTGGAGACATTATTCTCATACCTTAGTTCTTTAGACATGGATTCCTTTGAAAATATTTTAAATAGTTGATTTAAAGACTGTCTAGTAGGGCCAATGTCTGGGCTTCTTAGGGAAAGTGTATTAATTGCTTTCCTTTACCTTTTATCATTCATACTTCTCTTTGTTTTTCTTCTTTCTTTCTTTCTTTCTTTCTTTCTTTCTTTCTTTCTTTCTTTC